TTCCTGATTAAGTTATATTTTATTATGATCGTTGACGAGTTAATTAACTATTAACATATTTTCCGCAACAGTAGGTATAAGGCAACAGTACAACAGTTCCACAATAATAGTATAAGGCTCAACACTATCATATTTTCCACAACAGTAGGTATAAGCTGTCAGTAATATTAAACAAGATATGACACCATTTCAAAAAGTGGAATATCCTTTTACGCTCTTTCTCATAACGAAATGTGGCCTATATACATATGTTATGAATGTGGGCTTTTGAATTAAATTTTTTACAAGTTTAAAGTAGTTGAATTTTGTCTTAACTACTGTGAGATATTTATAGTAAATTTTTATATAAAATCATTTCACTACCTCAATACAGAATATATTTAAATATCCTACTGTGTACTAATATATAGGTAATAATAATGGTGATAGTATGCATGTTTGCTATTCAATCACGAAAAAAAATCATAAAGTTTATTACCTGGATTGAGACAAAGGGTACTTTTACCATGAAAAAAATAGGTTCCTGTGGATTTTCAAAAAAATAGAGATAACGCAGACAAAGTTGCGGGCGGCCGCGGGTCATGTAAATGTCTTAAAATTATTTATGAAAGTCGAAAAAAATAAATTATTTATATAAAAAAGGTAGGTATAAATAACTTAGAAGTGATTTATCAGTAGAATATTCTTAGCTACGTAATATTTAAAAGCTGCCTAATTTTCTGTACATTCATCTAAAAGAAGTTGATCATTGAACAAAACACGCTTAGGGTTCAATATGCTTCTTTTTAATACGTTTTTGACGTTTCGTATCCTTTTTAGGCTGCATCGTCAGAATTTCATCATGATTTTTACTTTTGACGAGCTACCTTAGAAAGACTTTTATTCAAAGTTTGGATAATTTATTGAAAGATTTTTGAAATTTAATTGCCTATCTATAAATTTATTTGCTAATTTAATTAATAAACTACTTTTTTAATTTTGACCCTATCTATCGTAAACTACCACCAGATCCAAACCCGTCCAAGCGTGTTTCATTTAAAATGAGTGGTGTGCGTGAAAACTTAAGAAACAAATAAATCGATCATTCATTAGTTTGTGATGATGGTGAATGCCATATTACTTTAATACTTTATTAAAATATAAAGCCTTCCCCAAAGGCGCGTTTATTTATCGGTTGCTAACATCGGAAGAGTTCGATATTATTATTTTTTATATCCGACATACACCATCATCATTTAGCCTACCCCCAAAGTAAGCACTGTAGCCTTGATACTAGGGTAACAGATATAACACAAATACTGATACATATAAAAGCAAAAGTAAAATACATATTACACATCCCTGATTGGAGTACAAATGCTCGTACAAATTCATCACACAAACATCTGCCCCCACCGGGATTCGAACCCGGGAACTCTCAAGAAACCCGATATACAAACCACTCGGCCACGGAGGTCGTCTAAGGTCGTCTAGGTTTTGCATCTTGAGTATAAGTCGCGGCACGACACTCTAGCGTTGACCGTTATAGCGAAGAAGTAAAGATTAAGACGTCTTGGGGGGGAAACGAAGTGCGCGGGTGGGCGTGCGTTGCGCCGATTGGCTCTCCAGTCGCACCCATGCGCAGCTATCCCCTCCCCGTTTTGTTTAGCGCTAGAGTTACGTGCCGCGACCTGTATTATGTAGAACGTTTACGAAGTTGATAATAACGATATCGCAATAACGCATCCGATATTATAGACCGAGAATATTCGAAAGTGGGTAAGGATAGGACAGTAAAGTTAGTTTTTAGATATTACAACTATTTCTAATTAGAATGAGGCCATAAAATAATTTAACTAAGAAACCAATACAATTATATTGTTATAGTTTAGCATTGCCTGACAATGCGTTTCAATATTTAAGTTTTCGTAACAATTGTCTCACAATTAGCAGTAATTAGAAGAATATCTTCGTTACAATTACTTAGCGTTATATAGCTAAAACCCTTATAACAGAATAGATGAGTGGTATCTACTCTAAAAATATAAGTATAGTGCAGATTCGTTCCCAGTTCTCAACAATCTACTAAGAATGCTCATTGTTAAAAACATAGTATATGTACAATTAAACTTCCGGAACTACGTACGAGGAGCTATTTATGAATCGATCGAACGTTATTTCATACTTGGCCTAATGATAACAATAATAAGTTAGTTTTAAGAGATAGAGAAACAGAAGTATATGTAGATTTTCTTCAATTTTCTATAAATTAAAATTTCCTCATCTTTTCTTCAACGTAGCGTCAAACTAATTTTCAGCTTTTGGGTAAAAAGCCGAATAACATTACCGATTTTCGCGCTTTTTGGTATTTAATTAGTTTGGTGGTAGTAAGCAGATTGATTTTCATATTGAACATCTAATTGGGTACTTACTGAATCAGAAGAAATCTATTGGATACAATAAAATACATATGTTACGCTCAAAGATCGAAAACGCTCAGTGAGCGGAAAAGTAGCTCACAACGCGTTGTGGTCACAGTAAAACATCCACATCGCGAAATTCGTGTTATGGCTATAATGAAAACGCGCACGACGCGTTGTGGCAATCACAGAAAGACCAAATAGCGAAATTCGTGTCGTGGCTGCCATGCTATTCGATCTCAACGCGTTGTGGCAATGAAGAAAAGTCATGACGCGTATGGAATACTATTTAATTACGACGCACACTACTTTCCGATATGGATCCTACTAGGTCTAGGCTGGAAACGTTTTGATGTCTTGTCTGTCTTTAGGAAATATTTTATAAAATCACTGCATAGCGTGTTGGTCATTATTAAATATGTTATATAATTATATTCATTAAAATAAACGATATTTGTTATTTATTGAGATTACTGTATATTTAAAAAAAATCAACATATTAAGTAATAAATTACTGAACACAAAATATTAATCAATTGTAAATTACTTATAATTCACTTAAAATAATTAGGGATTTTAATTTTTTTATGACAATTTAAAATTGTTTCAAGTTAATATTTAGTCTTCTCATTAAGTCCTCATACAAGCAAATTATTATTTTCTTCTTAAAACATTTATATAAAAATATTATTATATTTTTAAATTACAATTTACGACTTGCCAGACGGTCCACGATACGACAAAAGTCCCTGAATCGTGAAAATATCGTCCGCCGATTATTTGTCACAGACTCAACGCAAACGGTGTGCGGACATTTGTTGCCCGAAAATTTGAAAAGCGCACGCTATAGGAGTATTGAGGTTTAAGCATTAAGAAAAAGAGAATAGGTTTTAAAAGAAAATACTGGGTGCACCTTGTTAAGTCAACGAGCGCGCAACGCGGACTAAAGTTCACTGTGTACGTTGTTGCGCCTAGTCACATGAGTTCTATTTTTTTAGGGACACCGCCGTACTTTTGCCTAGTCCGGTTTCTTAGTGTTGTCGGTTGTTCGGGGAACTTTTTGTACGCGGTACTTTCAATTCCTCGTGTGCCTTACTCGATGCAGACGTAAGCGATCAATCTTGAGTCCAAAATATCTGCGTTTAAAAGTATTTCGTTTCGTCTGCTAAGGCCATAATCCAATATTATTAAAAAAAAATAACATCCTACTCCATCTTGATTTAGGTGAAAGTGAATTCCAAGTACGATGATAGTTGATGTAGCAGAAAAGATTGCGGCTCAAGCCTTGCTTTGCCGATTTGAACCCAATCCCGACCCCATGGAGCTATGGAACCTAACAAGAAACACAATATAAACAAAAACTAGGATTTAACTGCCTTCTGTTAGTTGGAGAAATCTTCAGAAATGCTATCGACTAAATTCCCCCAACCTATCTGAGACAAGATATGATTCGAACGATACCAGAATATGATTGTAGTTAATTTGCGGGGTTTTTATCATCTATTGTTTGGTCTTGCAATGAACAGCGCCAGTAATTGCACTCAATCATACTAAATATTTATTATTCAAACTGATTGAGAATCACACGCGTATACTTAGAGGACGAGGTTGAAGCTATTCATCTGGCATTAACACAGAAAAAGATCTTGATTTATTTTTTGTAGGCATAAACATAGGTATGACATAGGTACGGTGGCGGCTTGGTTGATTCCCAATAAGGATCCCACGCCGCTACCGCTGGTAAGGAGGGCACATCCCGGAGTTTTAGTGGGTAGGGCCCTCATCCCGAGCAGCTTCTGAGCCAGCACTAGGGTTGGCTAAGTGGTTGGGCGGGAGGTGGGGGGAGAAGACCCATATATCCCCGATGCTTACCCAGCGGCGGAGTATGTTGCCCCCCACGACAACGGCTAACTAGAGCCGAGGTCCAAGTTTTAGAGACGCCCGCTAGTTGAGCCAACACCCTCTGGTTCGAGTGGTCTAGAGGCTCCAGACAGAGAGGAGACTCCCACCGTGGGGAGATGCTATACGCCTGGAATACGTCTAGAAGCACTCGCCAAATATTGTTTTGAGGTCCCCAAACCCGGTGACGCTGTAAAGGTCATTTGCGACCAACAGCATACACACTCAAAAAAAACGCATTTCTCTGACTCAAAAAAATTTACTGAGGCGCCTGCATATGTTTATTGGTGTTATTATTCGGAAATTAGCTTTACAAATGTTAATAATACTTTCATTCTAATATCACTAATACGACTGTAATTCTATGTTTTTGTCTGGAAAATTCATCCTTCCTATTGTTATAATAATCAAAGTGGATAGAATGAAAAAAGGAAAGATATATTAAGGAAAAACAACTTATTGGAAAACTAATTTATTAAATGCAGTTTAAAATGTGTTTATATGTGTCCAATGATCTGACTTTTAAACCCCTTTTTTAAAATGATAAAATATAGCCAAAAGTCATTTTAGCTTAATCATTTTACTTTTATTAGAGTAGATATTAGAACAATGTTAATTCTGACATTTTGGACCCCATTTTATATTTATAAATTAGTATAATGACTTGCCTCATTCATCTCCATAATAAAAAGAATCGAGTATTCATTTCATGATCTTTGGCGAGTTATCGGGTATGACGAATCTACAAAATTGGTAAAGTTTGAAATATCCAAATAAACATTCAGTTCATATTAATTTAGCTTCATTGTAGCTGGGGGCTGCAGCTGGTAACAGTATAATTTGAGCATTGGTTGCAGCTCGTAGTGGATCGCCCTCCTTTGTGGTATGCAAAACTTTTCTAAGTAGCTCCAGATTTATCCGTTTTAAGCATTTTACTATTTGCACGAAATGGTTTTGACTGACGACTATTATTCCATTTGCATTCCATCATGGAACATTATAGGTGTTGTTATGATGTATGATGTAATAGATAAGTGAATGTATTAAGATACGAGTCAAACCTAAAAAAAACATTAATAACCAATACAGTCGGTATTTGTATTATGACTGCCTGAACAGATCCAATTTAATGATTGAGTAGCTGTACAATAGGTTTATCTAAAGTATATCTCCAGAAGCGCCGTCGCTTATTCTACCTACATATTGCATTTGTGATGTACACTTTCAAAAGTATAGTGTTTGATTACAACATCAAGGAATGCAGTAAATGGTATATATTAACCTCAAAAGAAGTGGGGTATAGCGGATTTTCAGCATGAATTGGAACGCCTGTCTGGGGAAGTAACCTCTACCTTACAGAAGGTAATAGTAAAATAACATTATATTTTGGTGGTGTTGTGTTTCTATCGGTAAGTAAGGTTCCAGGGCTCAACGTATAGAGAACAACGTTGCGAGTTATATTTTTGTCATAGCGTTTGCAGGCTATGGTGGCCGCTTACCATTAGGCAGGCCATTGTTAGCCACCCTTTAAACGTTAAAATGACGAGTGTTGCATGCCCCTTCAAGGAAGGGACATACAAAACTATACTTTTATTTCCATCTGTAAAGAGTTTGTTTACAGCAAAAAAAACTTTTACTATTATTAATGTTCCTAGCAAATAAACTATTAATATTATTTAAATATATATTTTAGCATTAGTAAAACTCATTTTACTAACTTAAAATTGTATTTATTTATTATGGGAAAACCAACACCCATTAAAACACATAAATACAAGGAATATCACACAGTGCGCTAATTATAGATTTTCACATTAAGCTCATATCATTACAGACATTATTATATTATCTATTCAGCATACTTATATCATTATACCACAAACATAACTCATTAGAAATGCATGAAGATTTGATTTTTTTTAAACTTTTAATTACTTGATAGTTGACAAAAGATGATATTTGTTTTTTATCAACTTAAATGGATCTTCGATATTTTCTTTATGAAGGTAAACTTGTAGCAGAAACATATTAGCTTAGTACAAGGGATTATAGCGCATAAGAATAATATAATAGACACATAGTCAATTTTAATTCGTTTTGATATGAAGAAGAAGAAGATCTTGCTGAGTTTCTTGCCGGTTCTTCTCAGTACAAGGTCTCCCACTGTAGATTTGTGAACCGATGTTGTAGCGTCTACATATTCATGAGTGCTTGTTATAGTCTTAACTGAATAAACGGTTTTCAAATCCGATCTCGAAGATAGCTGATGAGACAGACAAGTTGCGTGTGCCACTCCAGCCATCTTCATTGCATTACTTTCCTTATATTTATAAAAAGAACATAAAAAAGTACTAGAGCCCGCCCGCAACTTCGTCCGCGTTAAATTAAGTTTTTTCACAATCCTATAGGAACCTGTCATTTTTTCGGGATAAAAAGTATCTTATGTCTCAACCCAGGTCATAAACTATATGCTTACTAAATTTTATCAAAATCCGTTCAGAAGTTTTTGAGTGATTTAGTAACAAACATGTCAACACACGAATTAGGAATAAAGTCCGTAACAACTTGAAGGTGGAATAGAATATTTATATGTGTGCGTCTGTCTGTGGAAATATTATTATTATATTTGGGTTTCATTTTAATTGAAAGTAATAATCCTTTTTACACATTTTTTATTTTTAGTTTAATGAAAAGTTTGAAAAAACCCAGATATTAGCCCAAATTGATATTCCCACTATTACATATCGTACAAATACATTAATAAATTGGTTTGTTTATACTATTTTGCAATATCTATTTGAAAACAGCTAGCTATTGTATGAATCAAAACAATGTAGAGTTAATTAGTCTATATTATTAATAATTATGTAAAATACTTATCAAGATTACTTATTGATGTGCGTAATTTCGTATAACAAACAAATCAGAATAGTATTCATTAGTCACAATCATATTATTGCATGTGGGTTATTGTTATGCATAATGAGTTAATCAATGACATAATTTGACTTCATATTGTTATCTGGAGTCCTGCACGTAATTGCTGGTATTACAACTATTGGATCATAAACCACTTTCACTCAACGCCAAGAAAGAGAAGCGGCTTTTGAAACAGTCTCGAGTCCGTTTATTCCAACAACAGTTATTTGTAGGTCAAATACATTGTCTAATTGTAAACAGACATATGAACTTTTCGTATCATCTGATTTTGGGAAATTTTATGTGAAGAAAATATTGACTAGAAAAAGATCCACTCAATCCAGTCCTATATCATGAGCACGGTGCTCATGATATAGGACATGATATGATATGTAACGCGTTTTTATCACGCTCAAGTGTCAAATTACTATGGCGTTTCACAGATAGACGCGATATAAAACGTGTTATAATGTAAACTGTAGTGCTCCTGCTACAGGGGCAGGTTTGCGGATTGCGCAAGTGGAATATTTTCTAGTAAAATATATTCTTTAGATTTATAAATCTAGCAGTTAAATGCTTAAAAATATACCTAATAACAACGTTTATGTAGTTTATTTTTGCTTTTGTGTTATGGTGCGCACGATATCGTTGATCTTAACAGGTTTCGAATGTTCTCGTTATAAAAAAGTATGGCGACATCATTAGCTTGTTTATTGTTATGCTGTTTGTAACGTACAGAGCAAAGCATTGCATATGACCATAAAATTCCCGTTTGTTACTACAGATGCTGTTAAAATTGCTTTTATGAACTTAGCCAAGCTCTGTCGTTGTAAAGGTTCTTAGCTTTCGAATACAAGGGCATGCATACTTGCTGCTTTTTAGCGTAAAAACATTTGTATATAGATCCACCTGGTGGCTGGTATCGACTGTCGCGTCTTGTTTTAGTTTTGATAGACCCACTAAATCCGCACCAATCACGTAGACAATTTTTCTCTAAAGTCACTACATAAGGCCCTGTTTTAAGTAGTATGTCACCTTTGACTGCCACCGCTTCCTTCAACCGTAGACCATCGTTGTAAGGAATGAACGGATTGAGATCGCAATTAATGTAGCCTTCTGTGCCTTCTTCGCATAAGAATTCGTCTTGAGAAAGAACGTTGGGCTCATTAGGTCTCACAATGGTGCCAGTGTCAACCAATTTGGAGTGTGAATCAATGTTATCCTTCTTGTGACACACACGCCCACGGTCTGGGTAAACTAAGCAATCAACCAAGTAAAATATCTTATTTTGTATGTTATTAGTTAAAAACAATAATTTATCTTCGTTTTTCAAGTGATTGTACCTTATATTCTCGCACTGGTAGGTGTCAGCCTGAAGGTAGCATGCCTTTAGACTGAGATCTGGTGACGTAACTTGCGTCATAGAGTACAGTGTTATTGTGGCGCATTCAGCCGACGAACAATTGTAGAAAACCGTATTCACTCTTGGTATGTAAGGGTCATGCGATGGTATGTTGTTATTTTTCAAGAACTCATTGCGGCGTGCATTTGACACAGTTTTGCATACAGGTGTTTTGTTCTGAAATGTTTTATAAGTGGCTATTCAGACAAGTTCAGAATGAGGGAAACTACTTTTGTTTTACCATTTTATTCCTTTTGTGATTATCACTCTATCAAAGTCAGTTATTGCTGTGACACAGGGATATCCTAAGGGAAATAGACAAACAGGACTAGAAAATGCAGTCCGAACGAACAGCTTTTGTGCTTTTCTAAGAATGACAGAGCTCTATATAAAAGGTTTGGGTCATCCATCCGTTGATTGAGTTTTTGATAATGTTTGTATGATAGTGCTGTGATATCATGATTGTTTTTGTCATACCCACATGTTAGTAAGTTCAATATTTTTTTATCTTTACGGCGCGGCGCGGTAATTGGTTAGGAATGTTTGTTTTTATGGATTTTAAACAAACGAAAATCGTGATCAACCGTGACGTCATATTAATAGATTTGTCGTTTTTAATGGAAAAATAATTATCAAATATTTTGGATTTACTTCATTGTCATTTTTTTGCTTAGGGACATGGTTCATTGGCTGCTTGTGATTTACTTCTCATTTAATCATCATCAAAAATAGTTAATGCTAAAATTGCTATGGAATTTACCTTGTCAATCACACACTGCACGTCCTTATTATATCGCTGTGAAAAAATGATGAATTAATAATTGTGCAGGAAATTTTGTTTAATACTTAGATTAAATATAAGCTGCGTCATTCAATGAATCAAAAAGTTTTTGCAAGTGTAAAAGGGATAAGTATCTATTTTTCTGAAATATATTTTAAAGTATGAATGGGTTCTTTTAATGTTACCTTTATAAAGAAAATTATTTCAAAATTTTTATTCTTAACAACAGTTTTCGTTTAGTAGAATTCATTAAAAATATTATATATTTTCTTCGATTGTCATTTGGAAGACTTTATTAATATAAAATTATTATCGGCCACTTAAAATGTATTATATAAAAAAAATTGGGAAATGAAATCTCATGACTTCATCTGGTGCGAGACATCCAAGGCGGGACTGTTTGTTTTTAATAAATAAATAGGTTTTCCTGCAATAGAATATAGATTTTTGTAATGTGCCTTGCTATGCCTTAAGAAAAAAAGTAATTTTTCACCGCGGAATTCACCGGTGCGATTTGAAAATTTATTTGAAATTTGTGTTCTAAATTTAAAGCACACCGTGGATTCCGCGATGAAAAGTGAGTTTGTTCTTACTGCACGGCTGTTCTAATTCCTGCCAGTATTTACTAATTTCAAGGAAGTTCGGACAGCTACTTACCGCAACTATGTTGCTGAAACAGCATTGAATAACGACTAAACACATAAAAACTGTATTCATGATTGCGTCGTTACATTACACGCGCGTAAAAGAAAGAAAGAAAATAGGAAGTGCCTAGCCATAAAATATTAACTGCGATTGTCGGTTCATTGAAAGTTAATCGACAGATAAATTGCAAATCGGAATATTAAATTAATTGCTACAGGGTTATCTCACAATTAATGTTGGTTTTAAATCAAACCCCCTGCTGCCCGTTAATTGTATCTACCTAATCATTTTATTACTCACATTTTTTTAACCCGCTATTTGAAAGAGAGTTCTACTTAATGTCAGGTTTTCTCTACCAGAAAATGCAGTTGAAGAGTAAAAAATCATATCTCAATTTTTTTATAACAAAAATTAAGGTTTGACTGCACTTGGTATAGAAAATAATACAATATTATTAGCTGTTTAGCAAATCTACAAATATAGTACGTACGTTTATATTTTGCGATTTCATGTTTGATGCAAGTATTAATTTATTTAAATAATTACCGTAGCCCCAAAGTAAGCACAGTAAGGCTTTTGTTATGGGATGCTAGGGTAATGGATAGAATACATATACTGATACATATATAAGTATATTTTATCCAGAAATATATATAAACATCCATGACTAAGGTACAAATGCTCGTATTCTTCATACCATCCATCGGGATTGGAACCCAGGATGTCTGTGTAGGCGATACCACTCGGCCACGGAGGTGTTTTGTTTTATTAATGGACGGAATATGGTATTTGGGACATCTGAGAGATTATGTCACCACATCATCTATGCAGGTTTAACAATCTAGTTAGTCCCATGCCCGCTGACGACAGTCAAAATTATGCCTTTAATGAAAAGGTTACATACATTTCAAAATATCCTTCAAGGACTCTTCTATTTGTATGGTAAGAAAGGTTTTTTATATGTTAATTATTTCTACGACATAGACCCACACGAAAATATATTATTTTACCGTACCTATAGCTCCTACGCACATTAACACATCATCGGTTGCTCAAGGTATAAAAATAAACATTAACCCCCTTATTAATAAACGGAGACTACGCTTGGATTAGTTATTCCATGTTTCGTCTCTGTCTATCGAATGACAAGTTACATTTGATTGATATGAACAAAAGACGGCGTAACTAGTCTAAGCTTATTCCTCGTTTATTAATAAGGGGGCCTAAGAGTATAAATAAAATTAACACTATCTGCTTCGCGATACATACTTCATGATTCTATTGAGAACTGCCACTTTAAGTTATTTAGTCAAATACCATTTCTATGTTTTCACTTTTCAAAAAAAATTCGAGTCATTAAGAGCTTAATTTCATATCCGTAGTTTTATTCGGAACAACAGTGCTCGTCCGCCGGTGTGATTAGAAATTTATTTCTTATTCTCGTTCTAATTTTAAATCACGCCGCGGATTCCGAGTTAAAGAGTGACTTTATTTTTACAGAATACCACTGTATATACACGTAAACACCATATATACGTGCCGATATTCAAAATTCTATATAGATAACAACCTTTATTAAGAGCGTACTAAAATCTTTTCGGAGACAACCTTGACTCGGTAATTTTTCTAAGTTATATATAGAAAATAATTATTTTCAAATTTGAAATTTCAAAGAAGGAGTTTTTCATTTTCATAATGTATAAATTTAAAAGAACTTACCAACAGAAGTAGCTCCTGCTTATACATTTTTCATTACAACTGCAGAATCCCTGAAAAGATACAAACATATAAATTAAGTTAATGCCAAAAATAAGATGATAGTGATAAACCAATGTTTTTTTTAAGACAGTATACGCAAACATTTCGTGTTTATAAATTGTCGAGAGTTAATTTATTTGACTTTTTGTATATAATATACCTACACAATTTCACAGGATCGTTTAGGCCCGTATTATTACTGTTAATGACAACTAAGTGTTGATCTTTGCATGAGTACAATTAGAAAGGGATGTCGCTTTGTGCTATATAAAGCGACATCCCTTTCTAACTATGCTTAAGACTAGATCAATCACTGAGAATCTTTCTATAATACGGGCTTTAGTCTCTATAAAATAAACAGTATTTTTACCTAATTACTCATTAACAAAAGTATTAGATATACGTGATAATACCAACAGTAATAGGGTAGTTATTACAATAATAGTTTAGTTGCATATATTTGTGTTTAAGTTCAAAAATTCATTTCTAAGAAGAAAAACGGGATCGCGATATTATTGATTAACTATGTTTTTCACTGTTTTTCCATCAGAAATGGTCCGAGGAGGCGAAAATTAAAGCGTTTAGCTATATATTAAAGCTATATAAAATACTCATTTTTTAAACCTAACTAAAAAATTGAAAATAATTTTATCCATATTAAATCTCGTTTTATATTTGTGTATTTCTCATGATCACAAGTTTTCAAAAAAGCATGTTAGATTCACATTTTTTTCTTCCCATATAAATGTACCTACTGAACAAGCTTTTGTTCGCAATGCTTTTTACTGGCGTTAACTTTTTTTTAAGAATCCCCAGGAACCTAAGAATTTTTCTGAATTACAAGTATCCTATATCTCAATCCAGGTCTTTAACTATATGCGCAACAAATTTCATCCAAATCCATTTAGTTTAAGCATGAATAAGTTACAAAATAGCTTAAAAACAATTTTTTACATTTATAATATTATTAGGATAAGTACCAAATGTATAAAACTTGCGTATATTACATACGAAACATGCAAGTTCCATAGCTTATAAAAATGGGTTGTGCTTGCATAGCTAAACCAATTAATTCACAGACTTATTCACCTGTAAATTTTAATTCACAACAATTCATAGACAGTATTTAACGGAAAATCGCTATCTATTGTTGTCAAATCGATTCCGTAACTAATGTGAGTATACGAAAGTTAATGGATGTATCGTGATAATCTACTAACTAACGCAATGGCGCTACGGTTCTTGCTCCAGTTTTGACAAGGTTGACTGTGGGCGTTCGAGCACGGCCTGCATGTGAGTGCTACGTCATACAACAGCGTGACATTGAAATACAAAACGGAATGACAGCCGCCAAACTGCGATGCGAAATAATTAATTATGTCAGATATTAGGTAGGCGTGCATAATTTATGTTTTGAGTTTATGATATTATGGTAGGTTTAAGTAGGATTTGTGTGATGCAACGCTGTAAGTTTCCAGTTTCCCATTAATTTGAATTTAAAGCAGTAAGTATAGTGGGTAAGAGATTGCAGTTGCGGAAACTATGATTTGTTTTGTTTTGTATTGGTCATCAAACAAACATCCTTAAACATTGTCCCTCTTATTAATAAACGAGAAATAAGCTTAGACTAGTTATGCCGTGTTTTGTTCATATCGCTCAAATGGCATTTGTCATTCAATGAACAGAGACAAAACATGCAGTAACTTATCCAAGCTTATTCTTCGTTTATTCATAAGGGGGTGTAAATGTTGTTTCCTATTGCGGATTTTATTTCTGTCAATTGCTTTGAGTTTTATATACCTCCATCAAATATCAAAATTTGTAACTATTCATACATAATTTAATTGATCAATCCTTATAAAATGGATGAATTGATAAACAAACCGCACCACCTCTTTTTCTATTATTAAAAGACGATTATTTCATATCAAAAAGAACCCGATTAATGTTTGCCCTGTGATTAATCATTACCAATTTTAAGCCAATTTTGAGCCTGTGACAATATCTGACAAAGTCCATTGTATTATTGAATAGGGATAGCGTCTACGTTCAAAGAATCTAAAATGAGTTCCGTGAAGATTTAAATAGATGCAACTGATGATCGGACAAGCCGATTTGAAAGGGGAAATATAATTACCTGGATTGGCAAACAGTAGCGTCACTACATACGAGTAAAGGCTCATATAGAAAGTGACAATACAATAGGACATTGAACGATAGTGAAAATATGTGCGCCCCTTGCATATAAAACAGGTGCATCGAAATGAGACTTACATTTGGCTGGATTTGGACATCAACGGACTTTGAGGCGTACTTAGTTACGTATTGTATAAGTACCTTCTCATTATTATCAAATTTGTACTACGTAATCTATACACGTAATTGAATAGATGTAAGACCAAAGGATATGTATGTTTAATCCCGATTTGAAATCAGCACTTTTTATAGTACTTTTAAGTTTCAATTTTCAAAAAAACGGATACAATATATATATAAATATATAAAAGTGTATTTTATCTAGAAATATATATATATATATATATATGTATATATATATATATATATATATATATAAACATCCATGACTTTGGTACAAATGCTGGTATTCATCATATTAACAATTGCCTTTACCGGGACTCGAACCCAGGATCCGAGTAGGCGACGTCATGAAACCCTGCGTATATACCACTCGGCAACGGAGATGATCATTATGTTTTTGCATTATGTTTTAAGAAACAAGCTGAACCAATCTTATCTTTTTTATCTTGGAATTAATTTCCAAACATATATAGCCAGCATTTAACGGAAAATATATACCTGCATCATAAAGTAAGTCATATGAATGACAATTCACATGGTCATAAAAGTTGATAAAGTCTCTTATTATTATTTGACTCACCATTACCAAATTTGTATTACGTAATCTACACACGTAGTTAAATAATTTAGACTTGTGATTAAATAACATGTTTGTTTGAAGAGGAAAATGGCCATAACATAGTCCTCCTAAAATTTCCACAAAACATATAGTATTTCTATGTAGTTCTCAATAAAACAGAGGCTTAAGCACAAACTTTGACAGCTCCATAATCGTTTCGCATCGTTAAAGTTTACCACTACCACCTTTTTAACCAATTCCCGGAGCTGACAGTAATGGTGTCGGTTTATACAACCGTACTGCCTAGTTCGTTTCCCAAAATAAGTAAGATTTTGTAAAAAAATGTATCAATCTGTTTGAGACGATAGAATGTTAGAACGATAAGGGTGGCACGGTCTATAATAGACAAAACCATTTAAAAAAAGAATAAAAAAAAGAGTTTCTATGAAAACTACTTCTACCGGACATAAAAACAAACTGGCTCCTTCCATACAAAATTTTACGATGGCGATACGATTACGGAGCTGACTGCTGACTCTGTCACTACGAACTAAAATATCTATTGTGATTGTGACTCGCCTATAGTACCTATATCTTTCAGCCCGATGGTGTCTAAAAAGCTCAACAATTTTCGTTTATCTTTTAGCGTCTATATTTCGTCTTTGATGGTTATGGTAAAATGGGCGGCAGATTTTAGGCCTACAGAGCGTATTAAATTAGCATTAAAGTTTTAATGTACGAAGATAACGACAGAAATAAATTCGATTGTATTTTCGCATAGTGAAATTCTAAACTTAAGAAAATTTTGTATATGCCTTCTACGAGTCAGTAATACATATAAAGGTTGATTACAAGGTATTACGGTAGATTTGCGGTTAAAACCACAACAGAAAAAAATGTCATGTAAATTTATTTGACTTTCAGTAAATAGCTACTTATTATTATAAAAAATGTAAAAACCTTCAAAAAAATAAAGTTTTAATACTTATATACCTGAGTCTGTGCGGCGAACTGGGGCCAATGATCTTAAATTTATCAACTTTAGTAATAACGTGCTTGCTCATGCATATGTAAATGATAATAAAAAAACTATTTTTGAATGTCAGTACTGTTTCAATTTGGTCTTTATGAAGAACTGTAGAAGCAACTACATTTGTAGAACACTAATGTGAAACGAATTATCCTTATTATTAAAAAAAAGAGGAAACGTAATTAAAAAAATATGCGACTACGCTTCGAACAGAACTGGATCAATGATACTGAAGCTGAGTTATTATTTTATTTAAGTCAATTCGACGTATTAAGCGAGTCTAATGAACTTACATAGTTTTGGGTTTATATTTATTACGGTAGATAATCCTGTTTGATTCTTAATTGGCCGGCCGTAAATCGCAATCGTGTAGTTAATCGCTACAGAAGATGTTCTAGTTAACTTTTTTACTAGTTAGATAACTAACATAAGTTAGATTTGCTAAAAAAATGATTTTGTATTATTGTATTGGACTTTGATTATTAAAAAGCTTTATGAATTTTTATATAGTTTTCTAAATGCTGTATACTTCATTGTAAATCTTAGTACGATATATAAATACTTATATTAAAAATAGTTAGGGTAAATTTTAAATAATCTTTTTACTTGTTAGAAATGTTAATCTGCATCATCAGGATGATGATGATGACTGATGATTATTAATATCCCCATTGTTGGCGCTTGCTCCAACAACCTCTTCCCTATGGGTGGAATAGGGAGATTAGGCAGAGGTTTGCATTGCTATTCTGTAAAATTTTCACTGACAATTGGATTTATATCGGAAACGGCACGTGAAAATTTTAAAGAATAGCCTCGCAGTGCGGGTTTGTGGCTGCCAACGACTGCAGCCGGGACCAGTGGTTTAACGTGCTTTCCAAAGCACGAGATACCTTTCCAGTTTTTGGTTACCCATCCAATGATCGATTCTTGCTAAAGTTGCTTAACTTCCACGACCGCAGGCCGAACGTGCGAACCACCGGCGCCGTCGAGCACCTCATAAATGTTAGTACCTACCAGTTAACAATTCGTTTGATATTGAAAATATCGTTACAGATGAGAAATGGAATATAATTACGGGAT